TAATGTATGGAATTATAGAAAATTTAATTTGAATCAACAATATAAGAAGATTTTTATGTTTAGTTTTAACTGTTTTGGTGAGTAACAATAGAAAAGTATATTATTTTTAGGAGATGAAATACGTCGAAAGCAACAATGGACCATAGCAGGCTGGGTTGGTTTGGGTCTACTTCATTTGTTAATTTTTGTTAATATGTCTTTTGATTGAGAATTAAGCCATTTCAATTGATATTTTATAGTGTTTCTTTCTGTGTTGCTTGACAGGTAGATCTAAACCTGTTTAACACTTTCACCTATGTTAGTTTTGCTCTTACTGTTTTAGTTTTTGAGAAGAAAGCCAAAAACTTCATTTGACCCCTATGTTCTATTTTTAGAAACTGCCGCCATGTTTTTGAATGAATCAAATCCCCGAAAACAATCTATAAACTAGATACCCTAAGGAACATTCAATTAGAGTTTTTAAGTATTTGGCCAAGTAGTTTCAGAGAAGAAGATTTTTGAAAAAGTAATTAGACTTTCACAAAAATGTAAAAAAAAAACGTGTTAAGGGCAATAACTCCTCAAGTGGTCAATTGACTATTTTGATCATGTTGACTTATTTGTAGATCTTACTTAGCTGAACATTCAATGCCATTTATACTTTCTCTCTATCTATTATAATGCTTAAGAAATTAACCAAAAACAGTAAAATTTAATATAAATAAACTATTTCCAAAAGTAACCCCAAAATGGGTTGTCAAACTGGTCTGAAAATTCTAAAACAGATAGATCATGACCCATTTATCACTTTAACTCCTTTCACTTTTGCTCTAACTGCTGTAGTTTTTTTTAGATATAAGCCAAAAACTGCTTTTGTCCCCTATGTTCTATGTTTAGCCATGGCGGCCATGTTTTTTGATGGATTAAAACTTCGGATACAATTTATAAACTAGATACCCTAAGGAACATTCAGTTAAAGTTGGAAGTATTTGGCCTAGTAGTTTCAGAGAAGAAGATTTTTGAAAAAGTAAGACTTGCACGAAAAAATGTAAAAAATAAACGTTTCAAGGGCAATAACTCCTTAAGGAGTCAATTGACTATTTTGATCATTTGACTTATTTGTAGATCCTACTTAGCTTAACATTTTTGCTATTTACACTTTCTCTCAATCTATTATAATATTAAAAGAAATAACCAAAAACAGTAAAATTTCATAAAAGTAAACTATTTCGGACAGTAACCTTTCAATAGGTGGTCCAATTGGTTTGAAAATTTCATAGCAGATAGATCTTGACCTATAATTCATCACTTTAACTCCTGTCACTTATGCTCTAACTGCTATAGTTTTTGAGATAAAAGCCAAAAACTGCATTTGACCCCTATGTTCTATTTTTAGCCATGGCGGCCATGTTTGTTAATGGATCAAAATTCGGATACACTTTATAAACTAGATACCCTAAGGAACATTCATTTAAAGTTAGAAGGTATTTGGCGTAGTAGTTTCAGAGGAGAAGATTCGTGAAATAGTTTACGACGACGACAGACGACGGACGACGACGGACGCCAAGTGATGGCATAAGCTCACATGGGGCCCTTCGGGCCTGGTGAGCTAAAAAGTGGCAAATTTTGTCATTTAAGGGCAATAACTCCTACAGGAAATCGTCTGACAGTTTTGACTTATATGGACAATTAGTAGAGTTCAACATTCTGAAAAATTTTACCCTTTTCAGATTTTCTCTATTTATAACGGTTATCAGAATAAGAGACAAAACTTGCATTTTACCCCATATGTTTTATTTTTAGCGAAGTCGGCCATCTTTTTTGGCAGGCGGGGTCATCGGACACATTTTTTAAACTAAATACCCTAATGATGATTGTGGCCAAGTTTGATTCTATTTTGCCTAGTAGTTTCAGAGGATAAAATTTTGGTAAAAGATTACAAAAATTTACGAAAAATTGTTAAAAATTGACTATAAAGGACAATAACTCCTTCAGGGGTCAATTGACAATTTTGGTCATGTTAACGTTTTTGTAGATCTTATTTTGCTGAACATTATTGCTGTTTACAGTTTATCTCTATCTATAATAATATTCAAGATAATTACCAAAAACTGCAAAATTTCCTTAAAATTACCAATTCAGGGGCAGCAACCCAACAACGGGTTGTCTGATTCGTCTGACAATTTCAGGGCAGATAGATCTTAACCTATAGAACATTTTTACCACTGTCAGATTTGCTCTAAATGCTTTAGTTTCAGAGATATAAGCCAAAAAACTGCATGTGTTCTATTTTTAGCCATGTCGGCCATCTTGGTTGGCAGGCGGCGTCGTCGGACACATTTTCAAAACAATATACCCCAATGATGGTTGTGGCCAAGTTTGGTTAACTTTGGCCCAGTAGTTTCAGAGCAGAAGGTTTTTGTAAAAGTTAACGACGGACGACGGACGCGAAGTGATGAGAAAAACTCACTTGGCCCTTTGGGTCAGGTGAGCTAAAAAGGAAGGTGTGGATTGATTTTTGGGGTTATGGGGCCTATCGTTTAGGAATTTGGGGCCAAAAAGGGGTCAAAAACAATACTTTACTAATACTTTGTATAAATTGCTTATTTCTTGACCAATTTCAATAGGGTTTAATTCAAAGTCTTGAAATCTTTGGATTCTTTGATATGCTGAATCTAACCGTGTATTTAGATTTTGGATTTTGAACACCGTTTTTAAATTGGTCCACATATTTAGATTATAGATATTAGACCATAATAGGTAAACGTCCAATTTCAAATTTTTAATATCTTAGACCACTTTCTGTGTCAAAACATACGCTGTGTCAAATAGTGAATCACAATCCAAATTCAAAGCTGTATCAAGCTTGAATGTTGTGTGCATACTTGCCCCAACTGTTCAGGGTTCGACCTCTGCATTTGTATCAAGCTGTGCCTGTGGGGCATTTTATTAATACTTCCAGGGGGGGATCAAATTTGTTTACAAAATTTAAGCAATTCTGTATTTCAAACATGCAAATATAATAGCTAATTTGATGAATGCACTAAATCAGTATCTGATGTTCAAATATAATTATATGATGTGCAAATATACTTATATGATGTGCAAATATACTTATATGATGTGCATATATACTTATATGATGTGTCAAAGAACCACAAGCATCAAATTGTTGATAAATTCAAACTAAGTTTAATTTTGGACCCTTTGGACCTTAATGTGGACCAATTTGAAAACCGAGCCCAAAATCAATAATCTAAACACACAGTTAGATTCATCCTATCAAAGAACCCCAAGAATTTTATTTTTGTTGAAATCAAACAAAGTTTAATTTTGGACCCTTTGGACCTAAATGTGGACCAATTTGAAAACGGAGCCCAAAATAAAAAATCTAAATACACGATTAGATTCAGCATATCAAAGAACCCAAATGATTAAAGTGTTGATGAAATCAAAAAATGTTTAATTTTGGACCTCAATTTGGACAAATTTAAAAACGTTGTTTAAAATCCAAAATCTAAATACACGGTTAGATACGGCAGATCAAAGAACCCCAAGAATTCAAGACTTTTGAATTAAATCCCATTGAAATTGGTAAAAAAATAAGCAATTTATACAAAGTATTAGAAAAGTATTGTTTTGGTACCTAATTCCTAAACAGTTAAGAACATAATCTCCAAAATCAATCCCAACCTTCCTTTTTTTTATATGAAACCTTGTGGTACAATTTCAAAGAGATCCATGAAATTATACTCAAGTTATTGTCCGGAAACCATAAAATCCTTGTTGGCCCCTCAGTCCTAAACGGTTTGGGCCACAAACCCCAAAATCAATCCCAACATTCCTTTTGAGGTATGGAGCCTTGTGGTACAATTTCATAGAGATCTTTACACTTATACACAAGATATTGTCCTGGAACAAGAAAAATGTTTATTTTTGGCCCACAATTCCTAAACAGTTAGGACAATAACCCAAACATCAATCCATTGGCGTAGCTTACGTTGAGGCAACCGAGGCAGTTGCCTCGGTAAAAAATAATTTAAAAAAAACCTTTTTTTTTTTTTTTTTAACAAAATGCAGCAGACTCGCTACTAAACCAACTTGTATATCGTCTTGTTGCCGTTATTGATTCATACCGTTTGGGAGTTATGCAAGACTTGTGGAAACATTTCCCTCTGGAAATCCCGACCCCTTTGCGGTAGTTTTCTAAATATGTCAGAGTCAAAAGAAATCGACACAATTGAAGCTGAAAACTTTTAATCCTACCCCAAGCAAAATCAGTAGAATAGATGATGATCCATTTCACGAGCCTGTAAATTATTGATTTTGTGTGAGAATAATTCCTAGAATATGAGGGTCTGAGTGAGGTTTACAGAATACAGAAACATGCCCTGAAATTATTTTAAACTTAAAAGAATAGAGATTTAAAATGGTGCTTAAATATAAAAGAAAGGAAATCAAATTATGAACAAAAAGGATTAAAATAAATATTTGAAGTCCCCCATTCAAATCCTCATATCTAACCGGTTACGTCTAAAATTGAAACATCGTTGTGTGTTGACATTTTCCTAATACGTGTAGTACTCCAATTAGTACAGAGTTTCGTTGACTTTGATATCAATTAGAATAAAATATACATTAATCAATATGCACAGAATAATGATTTGTATGTTGTTCTAAAGTGTTATTCTCGCTTTTTAAAACTTTATAGTTTTTCAATAGCAGGGAATTTGAAATACTTGAAGGAGTCGTTTATTCCAGCGACATATATAGTAAATGTCTGTTTCTATATAAAAACTTCAACCTAATACTGTTTTCATTTATTATGAAGACTTCAGAAAAACGAAAATGTTTCCGTTAGTACTTCAACGGTTGTCACTTTCACAATGGGAAAACCATGTAAGAATTTGAAGACATTCCTAGAAATATTAGGGCGAAACACAACCCATAAAAGTGCCGTGGTGCGTTTTACATGTAGCATGTGTCTATTTCTTAGTTTATCAAGAAATGATGCTAGCGTAATGTCTGGTAATGTTTCTGGTATTAAAACCTGCATACAGCAAATCCAACCAAGAGCATATTATCATCATTGCAGAGTGCACGTTTTGAATCTTGCTGTTGCGTCCACTTGTGAAGCGCTAGCTAAAATCTATTTTTTTTTTTAAATTCTGTACGTAAGTTGACATGGTTTCTTAGCTGTATTGTTTGACATGCTGTGTCATTTAAGTATACCCCATATCCATCTCCTTTTATTCTCAACGAATTTAAAATCTGAGTTCACTGAAAGGATTCATTTTGAAATAGTGGTAAATGTATTTGAGAGTTGATGGAAAATGATGTAGGTACCAGTAATCAACTAATAAATCTATAGTATAACTTAGTGTAAGGCATATTAACATTATTATGATGAAATTAAATAAAAGAACTGTTATAATTTTTAATAGAGTATTCTTGTTCAAATTGCAAAACCTCAACAGCTTCTGGGGGGGGGGGGGGGGGGCTGCAACCCCAGACCCCTGCCTTGGTAATAACAGAATGCAATCTACGCCACAGTAATCCTAACCTTCCTTTTTTGATATGAAACCTTGTGGTACAATTTCATAGATATCTATACACTACTTAAATACTCAAGTTATTGTCTGGAAACCAAATGTCTTCGGACGACGTCATTATCATTTTGCGGTCGTATAAAAATGAAAAAAAATGGTAAACTTCGTCATTACAGGGAAATAATAGCATGGAAACATCATAAAGTTCCATTTTCAAAATATTAAAGACCATAACTCCTGAATGGTACATTTTGTTGGAAAATCGCCAATATCGAACTTGACCCCCATTTTGTAAACCCGCTGCAATTGTTTGCACCTGTCCTAAGTCAGGAATCTGTTGTTCAGTAGTTGTCGTTTGTTGATGTGGTTCATAAGTGTTTCTCGTTTCTCGTTTTTTATATAGATTAGACCGTTGGTTTTCCCGTTTGAATGGTTTTACACTAGTAATTTTGGGGGTCCTTTATAGCTTGCTGTTCGGTGTGAGCCAAGGCTCCGTGTTGAAGACCGTACTTTGATCTATAATGGTTTACTTTTATAAATTTTGACTTGGATGGAGAGTTGTCTCATTGGCACTCATACCACAATACCACATCTTCTTATATCTACTATATATTAAATTTGAAACGCATTGATTGAACAGCTCATAAGTTATTGCACCGAAACTGTTAGCAGTCACCCGCCGAACTTCACCAATTTAATTAGAAGCAGTACCAAAATTCTAAACACAGATAAAGACTAAAATCCTATGTTATTGCTTATATTGCCATATTCATCGCCATTGATCATATCATGATGGTTAGTTTTATAAGTGAAGGAAGCAGGAGTACCCGGAGAGCACCACCGGCATAAGGCAGGAGTATGCGGAGAGCACCACCAACATAATGCAGGAGTACGCGGAGAGCACCACCAACATTAGGCAGGAGTATCCGGAGAGAACCACTAACATTAGACAGGAGTACCCGGAGAGCACCACCAACATTAAGCAGGAGTACCCGGAGAGCTGCACCAACATTAGGCAGAAGTACCCGGAGACCAGCACCAACATTAGGCAGGAGTACCCGGAGAGCAGCACCAACATTAGGCAGGAGTACCCGGAGAGCAGCACCAACTTTAGGCAGAAGTACCCGGAGAGCAGCACCAACATTAGCCAGGAGTACCCGGAGAGCACCACCAACATTAGTAAGGAGTACCCGGAGAGCACCACCAACATTAGACAAGGAGTACCCGGAGAGAACCACCATTATTAGGCAGGAGTACGTGGAGAGAACCACCATTATTAGGCAGGAGCACGTGGAGAGAACCACCAATATTAGAAGTATCCGGAGAGCATCACCAACATTAGGCAGGAGTACCCGGAGAGCACCACCAAAATTAGCAAGGAGTACCCGGAGAGCACCACAAAAATTAGCAAGGAGTACCCGGAGAGCACCACCAAAATTAGCAAAGAGTACCCGGAGAGCACCACCAACATTAGGCAGGAGTACGTGGAGAGAACCACCAACATTAGGCAGGAGTACCTGGAGAGCACCACCAACATTAGGCAGGAGTATCCGGAGACCATCACCAACATTAGGCAGGAGTACCCGGAGAGCACCACCAAAATTAGCAAGGAGTACCCGGAGAGCACCATCATTATTAGGCAGGAGTACGTGGAGAGAACAACCAACATTAGACAGGAGTACCCGGAGAGAACCACCAATATTAGAAGTATCCGGAGAGCATCACCAATATTAGGCAGGAGTACCCGGAGAGCACCACCAATATTAGAAGTATCTGGAGAGCACCACCAACATTATGCATGAGTACCCGGAGAGAACCACCAATATTAGAAGTATCCGGAGAGCATCACCAATATTAGGCTGGAGTACCTGGAGAGCACCACCAACATTAGGCAGGAGTATCCAGAGAGCACCACCAACATTAGGCAGGAGTACCCGGAGAGAACCACCAATATTAGAAGTATCCGGAGAGCATCACCAATATTAGGCAGGAGTACCTGGAGAGCACCACCAATATTAGGCAGGAGTATCCGGAGAGCATCACCAACATTAGGCAGGAGTACCCGGAGAGAACCACCAATATTAGGTAGGAGTACCAGGAGAGAACCACCAACAATAGGCAGGGGTATCTGGAGAGCACCACCGGCATAAGCCAGGAGTACCCATAGTTGCCAACTGACATGATATTCGCGTGTAATACACGCTTTTTCAACGGTTTACACGCGAGGATTTTATCACATGGCGTGTACACGCTTTTCACCACTTTACACGCAATTACACGCTTTTTCGTTGTTTTGATTTTTTGGTTGTTAGTGATATCGCGATTCTCGGGTTTTTTCATTATAACACGATAAATACCGAAATTTCGAAGTAATTGTTTGGTGGCCATATTGTTTATTTTTCTATATGGACGAACAGCAAAAGCTCTTAAGGTAAGTAGTTTGTGATTAGTATTTACGATTTCGGGACTATCTTTCTTTCAAATTCACTTAGGGGAAATGTCCTCAGAAAGAGGTCGCTTTCAGGACCTGTACCGTCGTCTAAAGAGCCGATTTCTAAGCGAAAACGATGTGTACGTACCAAGATAATTTCAAGATTTATAAATTATATTTGGGAGTTCGAGTTTATATCATCGAGGGATAAGTAACGCATTGTGCACTCTATGTTGCAATCATAACAATACATATGAGAGGAGAACTAAAATACATAGCTATTTGATTAAGCATTTAACAATTACAAAATATTTTTCTTTTTCAGTTTCAAATGTAGCCAACAGATTTCCACAGGCCATAGGGGATGGAAATATCACGGAACTGTTGGATCAGTTCTCATAGTATTAGCTGTCTTCTGATGAACTACCCAGTTTTGACCAGGCAATAGCAACATATATTGTATAGTTTGTCGGGAGCAATGGTAGAGATCATAGATGACATTTTAGATGGCAAAAAAAACATTATGACACTCTTTCAAAGCTTCATGAAGCAATTTTAGTTCAGCCAAATATCAATTCTGACTGTGAGAGATCATTTTTCAATTATAAAGAAATTTACACTGAATTCTGATCAGAACTCGACAATGATATACTGAGTGCCTTTTTATCAAGTAAATGTATCCAAACCAGCAGGTGTTTAGACTATGTGCCTAGTGGTGTTGCTTTAAAAGCAGCAAAACAGACCACTGTTGAAAACAATAAAAGTTTACAGTTGAATATTGTTTTTTATATTAACAAATTTGCATATAATGTGAAATTATGAACATTGTTCATATTAAAAAGTCCGCATCTACGTCACGCGTTTTCACACGCTTTTTGACATGTCATGTCATGTCATGACATGATTTCTCATTGTCAGAGGTTGGCAAGTATGGGAGTACCCAGGGAGAACCACCAACATTAGGCAGGAAAACTGGCAATCCTTCTCAATCATACACATCTCGACACACGGGTGGTTTCAGATAATCATACACATCTCGACACACATGTGGTTTCAGACAATCATACATATCTCGACACATGGGTGGTTTCAGACAATCATAAACATCTCGACACACGGGTGGTTTCAGACAGTCATACACATCTCGACACACGGGTGGTTTCAGACAGTCATACACATCTCGACACACAGGTGGTTTCAGACAGTCTCTGATGCATGATTTTTTATTATTGTTTTGGCTTTTAACTAGCTGTCAGTAACTACGAGTACTCTCAAATCGTACTTTCTTGTTTATTTGACCTGCTGATACTAATTGTATTGCTTTTTTGTTATTTAATGTTATTCAGGGTTATATCTGGTCTATATACCAGCTTTGATAAGTGTTTGGTATAACTCTAAATTTTCACTTCGTACTATGAACATCAAAATTATTTATTTTGTAAAAATATTTCCTTTCTCTATTGGTACTGTACACGTATACCTAACAACAAAATTATTTTCATTTACCTGTGTTTAAAGTTATTGCATATGGATGGTATTTTTGTTCGAGCATATTGTTTTTCTTTAATTGTTTTACATTTCTTACCGATATAACATGTTACTTTTATTATTCTTCCCTTAGTTTATTTATTTTGTATTAACATTGTGTCATAGGTCAAATTTATTTGTTCAGTGTATGTTCATTGGTGTTAATATGTCCTTTGATTGAGTTAAGCTATTTCAGTTGATATTTAATAGTGTGTCTTTCTATGTTGTGATGTTACACTATTGTTTCAGAAAAAGGGTGAAGGTTTGGTACCATTAAAACGTTTAAACCCGCTGCATTTGTTTGCACCTGTCCTAAGTCAGGAATCTGATGTTCAGTAGTTGTCGTTTGTTGATGTGGTTCAAAAGTGTTTCTCGTTTCTCGTTTTTTATATAGATTAGACCGTTGGTTTTCCCGTTTGAATGGTTTTACACGTTATTTTTTTGGGGCCCTTTATAGCTTACTGTTCGGTGTGAGCCAAAGCTCCGTGTTGAAGACCGTACTGTGACCTATAATGGTTTACTTTTATAAATTTTGACTTGGATGGAGAGTTGTCTCATTGGCACTCATACCACATCTTCTTATATCTATACACATCTCGACACACGGGTGGTTTCAGACAGTCATACTCATCTTGACACACGGGTGGTTTCAGACAGTCATACTCATCTCGACACACAGGTGGTTTCAGTCATACACATCTCGACACACGGGTGGTTTCAGACAGTCATACACATCTCGACACACGGGTGGTTTCAGACAGTCATACACATCTCGACACACTGGTGGTTTCAGACAGTCATACACATCTCGACACACAGTTGGTTTCAGACAATCATACACATCTCAGCACACGGGTGGTTTCAGAACCACACAGTTGACAGTTCAACCATCATTGTAGATAAACTTCCTAGAGCATTAAATATTGTGACTGTTTAGTAAAAGGAAATGTATGGATTGATTGATTTGATTGATTGTTGGTATTTAATGTCAATTTTAGCAATATTGATTTTATCATGGTGGTGATAGAGAAAAGTAGACACACACAAAATTTCCTGATATAAACCACCAGGGGTAGTTTATGTTTGATAAAATTAATATTATCATGACTGTATTTAACAAATATAAAACTTACTCATTAGGAGAGACCCAATGGTGTTTCCGACATAAACAATTCTGCTGTTTACTCTTTAGTCAAGAAATGAAACAAATTGAGGTTTAGAAATGACAGTTTTAATTTTTTTATCTGAAAACTGATCTACTACTTGTACCACATGTGTCAATGTTAAAAGCACACTCACTTTTAAAAAAAATAGTTTCTGTATTTTTGCCCATTTTATAGAGTTAAAACAATACACAACTTTTTACTTCAAAAACAAAACAAGAACATCAAACACTGACAAAAATCTAAATGTTTCACATGTTTAAATACAAATAAACAATTAACAAATAGATTTTGCTCTTTAAAGAACAAAAATCAATTGCACAATATTAGTAGCATGTATAATCCTAGTATGAAGATTGACATATGTCTAGAGTAATGATCATTGCAACTTATTTTATTATGCAAAGTTTTATACTGAACATTAAAATTTACTATAGACTACATTAACATAACAGTTAAAGGTGGCACTGTAGTATTAACATTCCGGAATTAAGGTTGCTCTTTTGTGAACCCTACTTAAGTCAATGTATCTGAACAGTATGATTGGACAAAAAATACATTTTTTTTTTAATTTTATATTCACTGCATGATAAAAGACCGAAAACACCTAGTTGCTTTAGGTTTATAAAGATAACAAAAAAAGTAAACGGTCATCATACATATTCAAATTAATTTTTGAATATTATAATGAAAGTACTTCAGTTAACTGCGTATGTATAATATGGGGCAGTGTTGGAAAGTGGTGAAAATTCTAAAAAGGCTATCATTATCCATATGTGCCAGGAAATACTACCGTGCCATCTTAAAGCCTATTTGAAAAAAATTACTAGAGTTGTTTTTCTTGCATTTCTCCAAAGATAGTTTGTATCAATTTGGTAAATATGAGGTTCTGGATGGAGTTTACAGACAAGAGGAGAGAATAGGGACTACAAAGGAATAGAGAAATGAGTTAAAAAAGAGAAAAATGGGGTGCTGAAGTACAGAAAATAGAGAAAAAGAGACCAAAAAATATTGAAAAGTGAAAAATGGCTGAAAAAATTAAAGAATACAGATATGAAGACATCCCCATACACACCCTTTTATATTTGTTTTTTCCAGCAATAGACTGGTTTTAAAGAAAAGATGAAAATATCTATGTACATGATCATGATGACATTACATATTTAAAAAAAAAATATATGCCAAATAAGGGTTTTGACCTCGATTGATTTATTGGTTCACGAAAAATAGAAATATATATAGTGGCTGTGGAAACAGATAGACACAGATTCTTGTTTGGTTATGTTTCCAAATTTATGTTTTCTTTAATAATACAACAGTTCCCTAATGTAAGTGCAATTGTACATGTAGGTAATCATGGCAACAAATTTTACATGTATGCAGTGAATCACAATGAATGACTGTTTAATGACTCAAATGAAATATCACAAATTGCTTGCATGAAATAAAATATGAAAAAAGCATAGTACTTACTATATCTAACATGATTAATTTAAGTCACTTTCTTGTAATATACAATCAACAACCCATGATCAATGAACTGGATGACAGCAAAATATGAAATGTTTATGTCAATAACATATTCAACACCCTTTCACAACTGATGCTGAATA